CCTCGCAGACTGTCGTCCTGGTTCTCTGGCTCCTTGCTTGGAAAATTCGCCAGCAGGCCCAGCGTGACAGAGTGACCACAGACAGGAGACAGCTCCACACAAACGGCTGTTATTGCAGCAAAGAAGGGAGCTATACAAAGCAAGAGTGTGTCCCAGAGAGGAACGGGTCAGTCGCCACAAGTGGAGAAGGACATTGAGGACTGCCACGTGGTTTCCTCTTATTGGCCCGGCCCAGGGGCGGCCTTACGGGAAAGGTGTGGGATGCTATCAGATGATCGATATACATGATTGACAGGTGTCCTTACAACAAAGTTGTAGCTGTTTTCCAACCATGGAAACATATTATCCACCAAAGAATAAAATTTAAAACTAATAGTAACTTTAAATACTGTGCATTATTACAAACTTTCCAGATGAGAAGGCTTACACATCCTCATACACCCCAATACAGAAAATCTGCTTTTCAAAATTCAGCTCAAGACATAACTTTTGAAAAATTCACATAAACAAGTACTTTTACTGCAGGATTGTTAATAAGCAGGGGAATTTGGAAATAATCTAACTGTACAACAGTAAGAAAAATGGTTACCTAATCACGGATCCAGGGAGACAAAACTCCATGCTCATAAACTAGTTTTAATAAAATTTCACGCGTAAAACTCATTGTAAGAAAACATTCTTACAGGCTACTCTCTGCTGCTCTTAGAGGCAGCGGCTGCTCTGCCTGTGAAGCAAGCCTGCCTTCTGTTTCTTCGTTACTTTAATAAGCTTGGCTCTCACTTTAAAAAAAAAAAAAAAAAAAACACGTCTGGTTAATCATCTAGCTAGTCTGACAATTGAACATGATGCAGTCACTGAAATGCTTTCACATAACATTCAACTGTGTGCCTTGATATTCAGGATACAGTGTGAAACGTTTGCATCAGAACTTAAGACCACATATAAGTGAATTCAAGTACAGCAATACAATATGAATTAAATAAAGTATGCGTAGCATATGTGATTTTTAAAAAAGCAGTTCTTTCTGAGTGGCAGGGTCACGGTGAGTTGGTTTCATTTGAAATCTACAGTATTTTCTGGATTTTCTACAATAAGCATATGTTGGTTTATGGTTGGGAGGAGCACTGTTTTACTACAAACTGTATTAAAAATAAAATTAGGGGATCAAAGTGAAGGGACAGGGGTCTTGGTCTCCCCAGGCCCCACCGCACCCCCACCCCCGCCTTGGTCCCTATGTGGCCACTTTGGTCCTCTCCGGCAGCTGAGGCTGACTGTGGACATGGTGAGGTTTGCTAAAATCCAGTCATCAGCCCCCTTTTCCCTCTCTCTAACTACAGAGACATCTCTGCAGGTCCCCAACCCATCTTCCTCCCAGCAGCCAGAGGGAGAGCTGCAGAACATGCTTCTGACCATGTAGCCCAGTTAAAACATTCCGATGGCCCCCCCTGCCCTCAGGATGAGACCTAAACTCCTAACCATGGGGCAGCAGCCTTCCCCATCCTTCCACCCCGTTCTTGGTCCCCCACCAGCCTGCTCTCTGGGCACAAGCCCCTTGGACTTCTTTAAGCTCCTCAGATGCCATCGAGGCCTTTGCCTGTCCTGTTCACTATACCTGGAGGACCATTTCCCTGGTCTTTGCCCAGCCAACTGCTAGTCATCCCTCGGGGATCAGCCTAGGTGACATGGCCTCTCTAGAGCCTCTTCTGGCCCCCAAGTTGAAGGTAAGAACCATTCCTCTGAGCTCCCCAAACTACCTCTCTCTGAGCACATACTGTATCCATTATAATTACCTATTTATGGTTGTATGAGTCAGAGTCACGATAAAAGAGATGACACTTTCAAAATAGGACAATGTGAAGAATGTTGTTTGGGTTAATATTGCTGAGTAGCAATGAACCACAAAACCTAGTGACCTAAGACAACAACACAGTCTTATCATCTCTGCTGATTCTGCAGGTTGGTTGGGTTCAGCTGGCGATTCTTCTGCTCTCCTGTTGTGGGCGGGGCCCACAGTCATCTGAGGGGTGTCCAGGTGGCTCCCTCACATGGCTGGCAGATGGCACTGCTGGCGGCTGCAAACTCAGCTGGGGCTGTGGACCAGAACACGTCGGTTCTCCACCATGTGGCCTTTCCGCGTGGCATGGGGCTTTCACACCCAAGTGAGAGAAATTTTCACAGAACTGGCTGCTCCACAAAGAGGAGTGAGTTCCAGGTGGGGGCCACAGCCAGCCCAAGGCACAAGGAGGAAGCTAGAGGAATAAATACCCTGATCTAAGTCTCCTCCTTCTCCAGTCTGCTGCTGAACCCAACCAGAAGCCAGAGGGCAGGTTTAATGTGGTGATATAATAAGAAACACATATTGGGTCTCAGCCTCTGGTTCCTGGCACAGAGCTTCTAAAATCCTTGTGATTTTCTGAACAGTAGGGGTGCTAGATGCACCTTTTGATCAAATATTTGGTCTTTGATCCCAGTTCCTGCCACAGAGTTCCTAATCCCTTGGAATTTCCTGGGCGATGGGAGCCTCTTTTGTTCCAACGAGGTGACTGTCACTGGGCCTCCTGGATGAGGGCTGGTCACCAGAAAGACCAAGGCAGGATTAGAAGCTTGGAGCTTTCACCTCCACCCCCGTCTTCTGGGAAGGGAGAGGGACTGGAGATTGAGTTAATCACCAACCATGCCTACGTGACGGAAACTTCACAAAAACCCTCAATGAAGGGGTTGAAGAGCTTCCAATTTAGTGAAAACAACCACGTGTCAGGAGGGTGGCTTACTCCATGGGGACAGAAACTCCCGCACGTGGGACCCTTCCAGACCTCACTTGGTGCACCTCTTCTGGCTGTGCACCTGTGCCCTTTGTGATGCCCTTTATCATAAACTAGTAAACTTTTTTTTTTTTTCCTTTTTGAGGCAGAGTCTCACTCTGTTGCCTGGGCTAGAGTGCCATGGCATCAGCCTGGCTCACAGCAACCTCAAACTCCTGGGCTCAAGCGATCCTCCTGCCTCAGCCTCCCGAGTAGCTGGGACTACAGGCATGCGCCACCATGCCCGGCTAATTTTATCTATATGTTTTTAGCCATCCAATTAATTTATTTCTATTTATAGTAGAGACGGGGGTCTCGCTCTTGCTCAGGCTGGTTTCAAACTCCTGACCTTGAGCAATTACGCCTGCCTTGGCCTCCCAGGGTGCTAGGATTACAGGCGTGAGCCACCACGCCCAGCCTATAAGCTAGTAAACTTAACTACGGGCTTTCCTGAGCTCTGCGAGCCCCTCTAGCAAATGCAGGAACCTGAGGAGGGGCATGGGAGCCCTCAATTTATAGCCGGTGGGTCGGAAGCACAGGGGACAACCTGCACTTGTGCCTGGCGTTTGTAGTGGGGGCATAGTCTTGTGGGACTCAGCCCTTAACCAGCGGGGTCTTGCTGCTGACTCCAGGTGGACGGTGTCAGAATTGGATGGAATTGGAGAACGCGCAGTTGGGGTTGCAGAATCGCTCGGTGTGTGGGTTAGAAGCCGCACACGTCTGATGTCAGAAGTGTTCTGCGTGTGTTTTTCCCGCTACAGTGGGGAGGCCACTGAGGCAGCCACCTCTGGCATGACTCACCAGTCAGGAGCGCCACAGACGCACCCACTCACAAAGAGTCTTATGGTTCCTTCTACCAGGTGTTCAGAAGGCGGCGAGCTGGAAATATTGGGCGAATAGCACAGCTATCCTGTTTACAGCTGCATCCCTGGCACCTGGCGCAGCACCCTGGTAGTGTTTGCTGACTGACTAAATGAACATCCTAGCAGGACCGTCCCCCTGTGGGCAGCAGAGAACAGATGGAGAAGAGTAACTCCCTGGGCCACTTGCCCACCCTGGTGGTCATCAGGTAGAAAAAGCATGCCAGTGAAAGCTAGGACAAGAAAATGCATAAGCACCCACTGTGTGTTGATTCACTCAGCGTGCATGCATTGAGCACCTACCATGTGCCTAGAACTTTCTAGACCCCCATCCGTTCCAGCATTGGGGCAGGGAAGGATTCTGTATCAAGTAACTAAAGCTGGGCCTGGTTAATTCAATGGTGGAGGAGTTTAGTGAAGAGATACTACAGGGCCTCCAGATCCACCTGCGCTCAGTGGGGCCAGGAGAGCGGAGGGTGGAGCCTGCCAGGGCAGGGGCACTGGCAGCGGGGCAGGTGACAGGACCCAGGAACCCGTCCCACCCCTCCCAGTTTCCTCCTGCACAGCAGCCCCCTGGCTGGGGGTGACAATTTCCTCTGCTCTGTCCCCCATCCTCTTCCGGCTCCCAGTGTCTTCCCTTGCCCTGACTCACTTTGCCACCCTGCCCTCCTCTCCCCCCGTTACGTAACTGTCCCCTGTCCCAAGGGCCCTTATGTAACTCGAGTCACCTCGGGCTCCCAGCCCCACCTCACAGCTCCCACCTCGGCCTGGCCTGTCTGGTACGATCGTTCACAGTTGGCTGGGCCAAGCCCTCAGCAAGAAATGCAAAAACAGGAGGACGAGGAGGAGGAGGAGGAAGAGAAGGAGGCCATTGCCTCCACAGCAGTGATCCTGAACAGAGACAAGGCTCAACTGGCAGGAACCACACTGGAGGAGCCTCTTCTGCACCCAAAGTCCAAGGACTCAAGCAGCTTTCTGATAATTCCCGTCTCTGTGCCTCAATTTTCACTTCTGTAGAATGGGGGTCTACCAAAGGCCTACCAATGCTTTGCATCCTGCCTCTGACAGTCAGTGCCCAGTACGGGTTAAGTGCTATTGTGTTAATTTAAAAGGACTTGCAGGAGGTTATACTGGTAGGTAAATACCTACCAATATTTAATACGTACCAATATTTGCCATAGTTTAAATTAAAGCCAAGGAATTTTTAAAAATGTTGATTCATTCATTTAAAGACAACAATAATATAGCCATTAACATGTTAACAGAAAACCGTTTTATGAAAAATAACTGTATTTTCCAAAACAAAAAGCAATTAGTGAGAAGCACAGAGACATTTTACACGTTTTAAAATTCTCTGTAAGGTCTGGCTTGCTAGAAGACAGCTGGATCCTCACATCTGCTGCCGCAATCCGCCTGTTGCAACAGCACGTGTGTGCAAGCCCCCGGAACACTCCGCTGCACACGCCTGGGAGAAGGGTGGGGAAAACAGAAAATAAGGTCTTAGTGCTATTATGAAAACGGTTTTAACCAGCTACTCAGGAGGCTGAGGCAGGAGGATGGCTTGAGCCCAGGAGTTTGAGGCTGCCGTGAGCTATGATGATGCCACTGCACTCTAGCCTGGGCAACAGAGCGAGACTCTGTCTGAAAAAATAATAATAAATAAATAATGTTTTGATCTTGCACATCCCCCAAAGAGGTTCCCTGGACCACACTTTGAGAACCACCTGGGACATGGAGGCAAGGGAGAGAGTGGAGAGAAACAGGCACGTTTTCATGTTTCCCCCAGTTTGTCCTCACCAAAGGAATAATGAGTAACTAGAGATCAGGTTTGTCCTCTTGACCCAAGTCTCCTCCAAGCCCTTTTAAATTAAGGCAACGGCACCCAAGCCCTCCCGGGCTCCGGCTCTGTCCAAGGCAGGATGCAAAGCGCTTGGACCACGATGCAGAAAACCTGAGCGATCCGTCTAAGGCCACGTGGCTATCTGCAGAGTCCGTCCCCAGCGTTTCTGATGTCTCCTCCCGCCCTGCCTGCTCAGCGATGGCCCGGCCGCTTCAGTCTTCAGACCGACCCCGGCCCCATCCCAGGGACTCTGACTGCATTGGTCCGGGAAGAAGGACCCAGGCACCTTTTTCTGGATGACTCAGGTGATTGCAATGAGCACCCAGGACTGAGGACAACAGGGCCAAGGTCTTGCTCCTCAACGTGCGGTTTCGGGAGCCCACCCGGGGGCTTGTCAGGGTGCGGACTCCTCCCCCATCCCTCTGAAACGGGGGCAGGGGGGCATTTGGACCAGAGAGCCCCCCGTGACTGAGAGCACATCACAGTGTGCTAAGGGGAAACCAAGAGAAAGCACAGCGGATACTGGGATTCCTGCAAAGGGGCGAGGTGGCTGGATGGGGCAGTGGTTAGAGCCTGGGCTCCGGGACCGGCACAGCTGGGCCCCACCTCTGGCTTCTCCCTTGAAGTGGAGGCCACGCCACTCTGGGCTTGATAACTGGGTACACATAAATGGTCCAAGATTTCCGAAACCTCCATGGGGAGGTTCATGGACACCCACAAATCAATAACCTGGAACTGCAACAATGAGAACAGATCTTTGTTTTACACGGAGGTGGAGGCAAGTTTGCTTTCAGGGACATACAGGTCCTTTCTTTGGGGGGCGCAGCAAGGCGCCTTCTGGTGGTGAAGCAGAAACCTTCCATGGAGACGTGAGAGCCACTTCTGCGGTGACAGGGTTGTTTCAGAAGGAACAGAAGGGAGGGGAGCAGGGGTGGGGACCATGTATTTCCTGTCCAGCCCTGGGACTGGGGCTGCTCCCCCTGAGACACAGGAGTGAGAGGCAGACGCTCAGAGGCCACCTCCATGGGTGGCCGGGTGGACACAGGACATACATGCCGCTGGGTCAGGCCCCTGCTCCTGCCCATGCTGAGGAGGGACACCTGGGGCAGACACTGCCAGTTCCTGCCTCAACCACCTTTCCTCGCCCTCCTTCTCTACTGAGTCTCTTTGTGCCAAGTGCTCACTTCCCAGCTTCCTTTGCACTCACGGAAACGAGGCAACCCATTTTGACCAAGGAAATATAAGGGGAACCCTGCACCTGGGGTGGGGGAGACAGTTCTAGGAATGATTTTCTTTCTGATTAACAGAGAGGCTCACCGGAGAGTTCTCTTCCCTGAATACCTTCTTTCCCACGTTGGAGACTTCCCAAGTGAAGGAAGCCTGGATGCTTGGTGCTGTGACAGCCATTTTGTGACCATGAGGTACTAAGCTGAGCATGGCAGAGAAGATGACTGGAAAGTATCTGGGTCCTTCTTGTTGACATTGTTGAGCAACAAACCAACTGTGGGATTCCCCACATCACAACTGATCCTTCTGTGATCATGAACACCCCTATTGTTTAGGCCATAACAATTGTTGTGTTACAGGAACATTTCCTAGCTGACAGCTTTGGGAGCACTGGGAGAATGTCCCAATGGCGGCCTCACAGGGGCTCACAGATGCCAAGATGAGGTCACTCCAAGCAAACTGTGTCCCAGCCTGTGCTCAGGCTGGTCTCAAACTCCTGACTTCAAGCAATCTTCCCACCTTGGCCTCCCAGAATCCTGGGTTTACAGCTGTGAGCCACCGTGCCTGGCCAAGCCACTGGTTTTCATTAGCCCAAAATGGACTGAGAACATGCTGAGCCTGCCCCAGGTACCTGGATCTCCTAGAGCAGGGGTCCCCAACCCGTGGTGAGTTGTACAATTATTTCATTATATATTACAATGTAATAATAATAGAAATAAAGTGCACAATACATGTAATGCACTTGACTCACCCTGAAACCATCGCCCCTGCTTGATCCATGGGAAAACTGTCTTCCATGAAAAGTGTCCCTGGTGCCAAAAGGTTGGGGACCCCTGTCCTAGAGCCATTCTCTCCAAGGCTGGAGACCGAGTTCCCGGGGACATGAGGCTCCTCTGTGACAATGTCTGACCTTGCAGCAAGTGACACCGGGTTAGCCACCAATTGAAAGCACGGACTGTGGGGCCAGATAGGCTGGTTTGGATCCTGGTTCTGCCATATGGCCCTAAGCCAGTAAGTGCTTTCACCCTCTGGGCCTCAGCATCTCCACCTGTAAAATGGGGAGCAGAACAGCATCTCACCTAAAGGGGTGCTGGGGTGATTGAATGAGTTAACGTTTAAATGATTACGTGAGTTAAAGATTTTAAAGTCAAAGATCTTAATAAGCTCCTCGCATAGTAAGCACTATGTACATGTTAGCTGTGATTATGATTATGATTATTATTATCCACGGGTCTTTGAACTTCTTCACCACAACCCCAATGGTCGTGTAACATTGGGGTTGGACATACTCTCCAGTTTTACAGATGAGCACTTTGAGGCTCGCAAAGGTGCGCTTACCTGCCTTTACAGAAGGACCTTGGCGTCACTTCCACTGGAGACCACCAGGTGGCAGTGCCCACCCACTTGCCAACCGACTCCGCAGTCCGGCGTGAACTCGGGCAAGGGGCGTCCCTCAAGTATTTAATGAGCGCCAACTGTGTGCAGGCACTGTTCTAGGCGCCGACAATAAATACATCGGCAAAAATAAAAAAACAGGGGAAAATGTCTGCCCTTGTGGCTCTTTCCTGCCATTTCTCTTTACAAATAATAAAAGAAGTTCGCGGAGATGCGTGCCAAGGGGTGCGTGGCCCGGCCGGGACGGGCGCTGGGAGGCCGGGGGTGGGGGGGGGAGGCTCGTGGGCAGGGAGGGGAGGATCCGAAAGGCCCGCGGTCCGGACCGGCCAGGGGCGGCAAGTACCCCCGGAAGGGCCTGCGACTCTGCAGCGCACCGCCCCGCCCCCACGCCGCGGAGAGGGGAGCGGGGTCTCCGTCCTGCCGCGTCGCGTGTGGCTGGATGGGGCTCGCCCTGGGAAACCGGAGCGGGGAAGGGCGGTCCTCCAAGGTCTGGTTTGGCCCCAGGGGAGCGACCGAGCCGGCCTCGCTGTGCGGGTGTGAAGGTCACGGGCACCAGCCGCAAGAGGCCTGGAGCGCAGCTCCCTGGCGCGGTCCGGGCGACGCCGACCCCGGGCCGCCGGGCGGGCCAGGACGGGCCTCGGCGCCCGGGCGGGAAGGCGGCCCCCGGCCCCGTCCTCAGGCAGGTCCCGCGGCCGCCCGGTGGGCGCGCGTCCCGGCTGCGTCCCGAGCGTCCGCGGAGCGCAGGGCCGGAGCCCGGGCGGCGAGCGACCGTGCGGGAGAGTGCCGGACGCGGGCGCGAGGTGTGTGCGCGGGGAGGCGGGCGCGGGGGCGACGCGTGCGGCGGGGCACGCGGCGATCCTGCGCGCACACTCGCGAGAGGGGTGCGCCGTGGGGACGTGCGTGTGTGGAGTGGCCCAGGAGGCGGGTGTTGGACTCGGGGTGCGTAATGGGACAGGGACACCTGGGAGGAGGGGGAGGGAAGGGAGAGGAGTGCGTCCCGGAGGGCCCGCCTGGAGGAGGCCAAGCTGGGGGTTGCGCGCCTAGGTCTGTATGGGGCTTTGGTGACTTGGGGGCAGGCGGCGGATCCTCTCTGCGCCCGGGACGCGGTGCTGGCGAGCTCCGGGGAAGTCACTGCTGACGAGCCCACGACGGCGCGAGTCCTGGGTGAGGGAGGCCCCTGCCCCCGGCCCCCGAGGCGGTATCCCCCCGTGCGTGCTGGTGGGGCGACGTTCCTGCAAATGGACCACGCTGGGGAGTCGCCCGGCGCGTCTGGGCGGCCTATGGGCGCACTGTGGGTGTGAGGGGAACGTCCCGAATCTGGGTCCCGGGGGTGCAGGGCTTCGTCTCAGCGATCCCGGCACCGAGCGGTGGGCTTGCACCCGGGACCCGAGCGGGGCGGCGGCGGGCCGGGGGCGGGCCGGGCGGCTGGCCGGCCGGGGCGGGCCGGCGCCGCTGCACAGCGCGCCGGCCAGGGGCGCCGCGGCCGGCGGCGGGAGGCGGCGATGCAGTGAGGCCGGACCCGCAGGCGGGCGTGCGCGGAGCGGGAGCAGCGGCCGCGCTGCAGAGATGTGATTCGGGCCGAGGGCCAGCGGGAGCGTCGGCGCTGCGGGGCCGCGGGGGTCGGTGAGTGCGAGCCGCGCCGAGGCGGTGGAGGACGCTGCGGGGACCCCAGAAACTTTTCCCGCCGTAGATTTAGGAGGATTGGGGCGTCCGCTTCTTGTGTTTTTCGAAACCCCCCAGTACCCACACCAAGCAGTTAATCTGCTGGGGGAGATGCGGGGTCAGGGCGAGGGGAGCCACAGTGCTGCGGGAGGGGAGCCGCAGAGGGCGGGACGGGGGAGGCGAGAGGCCTTTCCCGGGGGAGGGGGGCCGTACTGGGACCCGGTCAAGATCCAGGTCTCGGAGGAGGGCCTGGGAGCGGGCGACCTACAGGTAACGGGCAGCTGGCAGTGTAAAGGAGTCCAGCCATGCCCGGGTGACTCGTCGTGTGTGAGGAACCGCAGGCAGGTCCTGGGGCCTCATGGCAAACGGGGGGGAGGGGTGCGGGTGCTGGCCGTGGACCTGGCAGACGGAGCTGGGGGCGCAAGGGTCGGACTTTGGGGGTGAGCAGCCGCACCTGCCGCAGGGGCAGGGGGCCAAGATCGCAGCCAGCGGAGGCTGCGCATTACCCAGCTGGGGAGAGGGGACACTGCAGGAGGGAGGGACGCAGGGCTGAGACCTGGGGCTGGGGGACAAGGGGGGTAGGAGGGGGCGACTGCGTACGATGGCTGGGGAAGGTGGCGTTTTTGTTCCAGACACTGGGCACTTGGACCTCCGGTAGAGGCGGCCAGGCTGGGGGGGTAAGGACTAGCCCTGTGCTGCATCCTCTCTCCTTGGGGGACACAGGCTTCCAGCCCGACCAGGACCCCACACATCCTAGGGTTCCTCCTGCCTGGGCGGAAAGGGGTGCGCAGGGGAGGAACCCGCACCGACCTTGCCCCAGAGGTCGCCCGGCGCAGCGGATTCCTTCCCGGGTCCTTGCTCTGTCACACCCAGGCCTAGCCAGTTCCCCCCTTTCGTCCCCCGTTAGCTAAGGGGGCGGCTCCTTGGAGCGCGGACAAAGGCCCCTGGAGTGTGGCGGGCAGAAGCGTCCCCGCCTGGGGCCCCAGCCCACGCGCCACATTGGCTGCCCAACTGCACCAGGCTGGGGGGCACCTGAGCGGCGTCCAGGAAGCACAGGGGACTCCGCAAAGACAAGCGAAGTGGGGGAGGGATCTGGCACAACCCCCCTGGCCTCACACACACACACACACACACACACACTGCAGCCAAGGAACCTTAATTCAGAAGTTTCTTACTGGAGAAGAGGGGCTTGTGGAGTATCCAGACTTTTGAGTTAAACTGCATGCAAATGACATGTAAATAGAATGCAAATTGGCATCTGTTGGTTGGAAGCCCTCCCAGCCAGTTTTGTATCTAGACTGTGCAGCGAACACAGCCTCCTATCTGCTCCCTGCGCGGAGTCTGAAAAGGGGTCAGCTGAGTTGGGGAGGGAAGAAGTTGGGGGGTGGGGGAAAGGAGCCGCCATTTGGGGCACTGGCAGCAAGCGGTTTTGTCAGAAAGATAAGCCCCACGTCTTTATTGGTTGGTTTGTTTGTTTTTCCAGTCAATGTGCAAGCCACAAAACTGCGAGCTGGGGCACTGCCCTGCCTAACGCGGACAAGCCTCTGCTCCTAGAGGACTGGGGAGGTGAGTGGGCAAACATTCGACAAGCAAGTAAATAGCAAATAGATGTAATGTCCGGGCTGACGGGAAAATACAACAAAGTGATGGAACAGAAAGGGCACCTGCGACCACGGTTCTGAGGAGTGACGTTTGAGGGCAGCCCGGCAAGGTGAGGGGCCTGCCACCGGGAGATCTCGTGGGGCATAACCAAACGAGGAAGAGCACGCACTGCAAGTGCAAAGGCTTCGAGATGAGATGGGAATGAACTTAGGGGAGCAGAACAAAGGCCATTGTGGCTGGAGCTTTAGGCAGATTTGGGGGTGGAGGAGGGAGGATGGCAGAGACCAGCCAGATCACAATCTTTTGGGCCATGGAAAGGAGTTGAAGACTTTGCTTGGGTCTGTGAGCCCTTGGAGTGGGAAGTCCCCGGCAGAGAGGGAAGGCAGCTTCCCTTTCATTCTGCCTGTGTGGCGAGGGGTGCTCCATCCAGCCTGTGTCTGGGACTGCTTTGAGCCTGGCCAGCCCTGGGAGCCAACTAGAAGAGTGGCTCAGGTTTTAAAATCCACTCCCCACTTTCCAGCAGTTCTTATCCACCGTAACCAACCCCACCCAGAGCCTGTGGCCCCATGAGCACGTCCACTTCCACGCAGAGCTTCCTGGGGCTTCCCAGTTAGTCACTTCTTCTTGTCCTCGGAATAACAGCCCTAGAGAGGAGCCCTCCACCGAGAGCAACGTGCAGCCAGGGATGCAATTTGCATTTAAATGATTGCTTTTATTTACAGGATTGGAGCTGCTCTGCGTATTCATAGATCATGGAGCTTGTGTTCTTGCAACCCAGTTTACTAACCTAGGAGGGTTTTTTAATTTGAGAGCCCCTAGATAGGCCAGTGGTCTGGTCTGCATTTGGGAAACGAAGATTATGAGGTCCTGTAACTTGGAAAAGATATCAGAGGGTGAGATTTGCAGGTCTGGGAAAGAGTTTAATGTCAGGAAACCTTGTAACAAGTCTAATCTGGCTGAGCAGGAAACGCACCAGCACTCTAACCGGAGCGGGCTGAAATGGGAGTGCATCGGGAATGTATCTCTGGGGTGCGTGGGGACCGGCTCCGCAGCCCCATCCTGGGCCTCTGCCAGACACAGGGGGAGTCGGAACAGCACTGCAGTGGAAAGGCTTTGGGGCCAGGAGCTGGGAGAAATGGGCTCTATTCTCGGGTTGACCAGTAAATCCCAGTAAGCCTCAGGCCAAAGCCGCCTGACCTCTCAGCCTTCGTTGTCCCCACAGGACAGTGGGAATCTCGACTGTCTTTTTGACAAACCCATACCCATTTTTTCCTGTGTCAGGCACCAAACTGAATACTTTTCACACCAGCCTGGTGAAGGTGCACTAGCATTACCCCCATTTTACAGATGAAGAGACTGGGGTTCAGAGAGGTTAAGTAATGCCCAGTGCCACTCCACTCCCAAGGAGTCTGATGGGAGTGCGAACTCTGTGCCAGGTGTTTATCTGTGTACTGAACTACGAAATATGCCCAGGGCTGGGACGCCCCCTGCATGTGCTCATCTCTTCCTGTTTGAGTGCACGCCCCCATCGCTAGAGAAGGTGGGTTACGGTGCCTGTGGCCGCCTGCCCGGCCCTGGAAGGGTACGTGCTAGGCTGGGAAGGGACCCAGGGTGAAGGCTGGGGCAAGGCCAGTCAGAATGGTGTGTTCCAGAACGGTTTTGTACATTTTATTTCTCCTTTCCTACGGGTATACGGGGAGATGGCGACGCTGGTTCCCGGGAGAATGGCTGGCGTCCGGGCTCCGGGGTCCTGGCTCTGACTCCACGAGAGAGATGGTGCCTGGCCTCAGGGCGTCCCAGGGGCCTCCAGCCCGAGTTCTGCCTTCACAGCAAGGTCCCCACTTAGAGCACCTGCTATGGGTAGCCGAAGAGTTCAGGGGTCCCCAGAGCAGACCACCCCCAGAGAGATGTCCCCTTCACACCACCTCAGGGACCTCTTTGTGTGGTATGTGATGGGGAGGCTGGACGTGCACCTGGGCGAGCCCCCGAA